GTTGAGGAAAATATTTGGATACGAGGAAAAGGATTGCGAAGTTTGAACGGCTGAGCAAAAACGTGTCGCGAAAAGAAAATTAGCTCGAGGAGCTTGCGAGACGTGCTGTAATCGCCTACAAATAATAAAACAGGCATACGAACACGGAACGAAATCTCTAATTTGCTCGCTTATTCGATACACATATCACTAAAATAAAAAATTAATAAAAGTTTTGCAACTTTACATATTGTTAAATTACGTGTTAAATTTCAACTTTGCATATTATACATTATATTTTTCTTTGTACTTCATATTTTTACGTCAAAATGTTTTATATTAAATAAATATAGAGATACTTTAAATATGTCGTTTAAATATTGTTAAATATATCCTTTATTTATCGCTTCCTGGCTTCCGTTATGCACAAATAAGCAAGTTGACCGATATCTCAATTGATCTTCGATATTTTCCAACCTTCTCTCAATTCCTCCAGTAGCCGTGATCGTCTAGTGGTTAGGACCCTACGTTGTGGCCGTAGTAACCCAGGTTCGAATCCTGGTCACGGCAATGTGAAAAACATTGTCACGGTGGAGGCTTTTTTTTACACAAATTTTGTTTCTTATATTTTTTATTAATATCCATATCTATTAAAACAGTATATGTTAATATAAATAGCCTTATTATAATATTAAATTTAACAATTTTTCGGAATAAAATAAATTCAACATCAACACTTATCAAACAATTTGTTACGGAATTCGTACAGACTGTCAAAAATGATTATAATTTAAAATTAGATTTTAATATTAATTATAATTTAATTTTATTTAATTATTATAAATTATTATAATTTTTATTAAATTATGATAATTTTTTTAATAATCATCAATCTCATAATTTATATGACAAGCAGTTATTATTCATTATTTTATATATGCAAAAAAAAATATCAGAAATAATTATAATTTAATTTAAATTAATAATAAAAATGTTTCTAAACTATTATTACACAATGATAATTTTTTAAATATCCGTTAGTCTCATAGTTCATGTCACAAACAATACTATTATTTACTTATTTGCATCGCTCTGTTAAAAAAAAATAATGGGGAACGAATCGTTCGCCTCGTTAAATCTGTTTGACTTTTGCGAGCACATGTTCTCGTTACGAACGGTGTTTTCTTTTCTATAATTGTAACTGCCGCTTGAATAGTTAATGCCCGAAGAAATTTTACGGTTTGACTTAAACTACTCCGCGGCAATTCGCGCGGACGCTAACGTTTGCACAGTTTCGCACGAACCAACGAGTCGTTGCATTATCATCACGACATTTCGGGACCCCAATATTTCATCGTCGGTAGCATGCACGTAGCGCGCGATAACCGGACGAGGTAAAAGTTTCAGCTCTGCTCTGGCAAAGTATCCAAGTGTAAATAAATCTTGCATCGATCAAGCGACCGAACAAACTGCGTTTCACATGCAGCTAATTAATCGTGCAGAAGAGAGAGAGAGAGAGAGAGAGAGAGAGAGAAAGAGGCGAGTGTTTGTTACAGTTTAATAACCTACTCGTACATTACGAATAACTAATTTGTACAAAAAGTTTTAAATTAAATAAGAAATTAATGAGGTGTTACGTTATGTAAGAAAAGATATGTATAATATTTGTTTCATTGTATTTTTTAATAAAATTAAATAATAATATTATAAGAATCTCTGAAGAATAGTCACTTCTGTCTTGATTTTTCCACAGTCTTCCTTCGTGTCAACGATACGTACAATATTATACATATATTAAGGCTGCAGTACAAACTTTTACATAACGTTGCGTAACGCCTAAGATACAGAACATAAAAGAATCAATCATATAATACATAAATCATAAAATAAAGGACTCTGATTAATGATTGATTTTCTGATATCTTGTATCTTATGCGTTATGCAGTATTATGCAAAAATCTGTGCTGCGATCTTCATGGTTTCTATACAAAAATTGACCAACCACAGTCGAATATAAAAAGAACGATCGACTATTGATCGATGAATTTTTTACGACTTAAGACTTTTAAAGCTTAGGTAATGGCTTTTATTGTGCGAAAGTCCATTATATTAAAAGGAATAAAAAAAAACATAAATGTACCCCTGGTGGGACTCGAACCCACAATCCCCGGTTTAGGAGACCGATGCCTTATCCATTAGGCCACAGGGGCGGTCGGTGGAAATGTTTCTAAACCACATAAACCTGTCCGTCCAATAATTTAATATTTCCTTTTTTTAATTTTATAAATACAAGATTGAGAAAATGTAATCGATCGAACACATAGTATCTTTGAATTAAATCGATAAAATTACCATTTTTATTAGCAGATCTGTGCAGATACGAGGCATATCCGTCTCGAGACTACAGCTTCGTCGAGCCGGATATTCTATCGAGTTCTGTGCCGACGGATTCCTCGTCCTCGCCGTTAACGTCTCCACCGTTATCAGCGACGTTCTCGCTCCCAGGAACTCTACTTCAACCACCCTTTCTAACAGCAATGCCACCTTTAATGCAATCCCTGAGCGTGCCTCAAACCCTCTCGACTTCCTCCACAGGTAAACTGGAATTTCTCCGATTTTCATTTTTTAAAGTTTAATTTTTCTTATATGCAATCTTTCGATCGCACTTTCAATACTATTTGTATGAAGGCGCTGTATACTTAAGCATTGATTGATACGCCACGAATAAGTGCCTCGGTAGCGCAGTAGGCAGCGCGTAAGTCTCATAATCTTAAGGTCGTGAGTTCGATCCTCACCCGGGGCATATTTTTTTTTCTTTTTTTTTTCCTTTTATACAAATGCACTAATCGCATTACGTTTCTCGATAACATACGAAAAAAATAATACATATATATATTTTATTATCGATGGCCAAAACAGGTGCTATGAGCCGTCACTTCGTCACTACAAATGGCATAGCCGCTCTCCATAGAAGACCTCGAAGCGAGAAGAAACCAATCCCGGACGATCAGAAGGATGAGAAATATTACGAGAGACGTAAACGAAATAATCAGGCGGCGAAAAAATCACGAGATGCCCGCAAAATCAGGGAAGACCATGTAAGAACGCACAATCGGTTTTGAGACTCGACGTTTCAATCTAACTGTGATTATAATACGTATATAATATTCTATCGACGGAAATGTTCGCGTTACAATTTCGAGCTACGTAATTCAAATCTTCCTTTTCATAAGTCGCGAACAAAAACAAAATATAATGATATAATTAACTGTTAACTGATTAATAAAATACTTGACAATTAAATAATCAGCGATTCTTTTATTCCTAAAATTTCGCGATACAGCGCACGATGTAAATTAAATTCAACGCTGACAAGAAGCAGAGCATCAATAATCAACATAACATTAAGATGACGTCATCGAAATGGCTTTAAAATGGTTAATGCCAATATCTCTCTCTATTAATGTAGTTTAATTTTAATCTTGTTAATTCAACTAAATCTTTATCTTTTTCCAATGTCCATTTCTACTACTGCAGATAAACTTTAATCTTGGTTTAACTTACTTTTTATTTTTTTTTTTTTAAATTTTAAGAATTAGAAAAGGATATAGAGTAAATTAAATTGAGATTAAAATTAATCTACATTGGTATATAGAAACTAGCATAAAAATCACTTTTCAATTAATTACGATTCATTTTAATGTCATTTATTTGATGTTATCGTAACTTATGTTGTTCTGCTTGGAGGTTTTAATTCGTGTATCAATATTTTCGCAGATTGCATTAAGGGCGACGATGTTGGAGCACGAGAATGCAATCTTAAAGGCGCAGATAGTGACTCTTCGAGAGGAGGCACAATCGTTGCGGCACATGTTGATCAAGCAACATACCCCAGCGATACAATCGATCGAACGATCGCTTTCGTCGATGACACCTGTGACGCTCTCTCCTCCGCACACTGCAAGCTTAGATTGTTAATTCCTGGAGATTTTTTCGAAAAGCGTGTACGAATATGCTTAAATATAGGAAACTCAAATCCATGCAATTTACACAGATAACTTCTACAGCAAAAAAATGGCACAAAAATTATAGCAACACTGCTGCATGTTGCAGAGATTTTATAGCGATATTGCTGTAAATTCTGTGCTATATGGGAAAAAATACGCGCGAAAATAATCTTTATTACATCTTTATTCGTAACGACCGATTTTTATAAAGTAAAACAATTCGGAAAATATCCCGTATTGTTAAATATATTTCTCTTTCTCTGTGTTATGCAAATAACAGAAGAATCCGAAGAGATTTAATTCAGAGATTTTATTATTTATTATTGTTGGAATTATAATCAATTTTAAGTGTAATTATATATAATTGTTGCTTAAATGCTAATAAACAGAGATGATTCAAGATATATAAACGGAAACTAATGTGTTTGTTATACAAATTAATCGTCCCAAAAGTCAATTATTAATATCTCACGAAAAAAGAGCAATTCTCCATGAAATTGATGTCGATTACTCGATTAGAAAAATTCACTATTGAGACATCTAGCGGCATACCGCTAAAAAATAAAACACTTTAAAATTTGTAACCAACAATCGGTATATATCCTTAAAAGATAACTATGAAGAAATTATAATTCGTTTTACATATACTTAAAAAAAAAAACATTGAAATTACATTTTAAAAATAAGATGGAAAAATATTTAAATAAGGTATATCTATGATATGTGTGTGCATTTTTGCAAAGTAGATACGCTGTTCGTGAAATTTTTTTCAAAGTGCCTCATTTAATTACAACGTTCCAATTAATTCTAATTCAAATTCTTTCTGTATAAACTATTTTACTTTTTTTTTTATTTTTTTTTTTTTAGAAAAAAATTACCGAGACAATAAGGACATGATAAATAATGTGTGGCAATGATTTATAATTTATATATATGTATGTATACATAATACATATACATATATACATATACGCATGTGCACACGTACACATGTATATGTTAATATTGATTCATTTTTTCGTAGTATGTGTGTGTGTGTGTGTGTGTGTATATAGGGAATTTATATACACTAAAAAGAATTAGATTGTCTCGCCCCACATGCCTATCTTATTTACCGTATAAAAAGTACTTTAATTACAATACAATAAGAAACATTGCGACGTACATTTGTTGAATTATGTATATATAAACCTTCTCGGTGTGCGTCCCTATGCTAATTTAACTATTTATACGAATACAGGCTACTCCTACAAGGAGAATGTAAATACAGAGACACATAAAGATGATACATAGATGTTCTAAGTAGATAGAAACGCGCAACTATTTTTATTTAAAGAAAAAAAAACAGAAAAAAGGAAGAGAGAACAATGAATACGTCCATCTATCTATTATCACGCACATCTACGTGTGTATTCGCGTCGAGTGACGCAAATTCTCTAATTTTCACCGATGCGAGACTTTGCAAAGCTGCAAACACAGCGTGTATCTTCTCGTGACACTTTTTAACGACACTGTCGCGTTTAACTTTACAATCGTACTTATTCCTAAAGTGTCGGCGAGATCAAATTTTTACAAATGCCGTTGACCTCGTCTAGAACGATGCTTTTAACGACATCTCGCGAAAGAAACTTATCGTTTCGTCGCAAAAGAAACTAATATCTTTAATTACAATTAACGATATACATATACAATGACACCATCTGGTCGTTATACGACCATGCCGTCGTCGTTCAGAGTTCCTACTCCGTTCCTTCACTCTAATACGCTAACATTTAAATATTCGTCTACGAAGGCATTACATACTTGTTTTTTTTTTTTGTAAAAACCCAGAATCGATGACGACAACAATGTCGACAAAGACACGAATCGTTCGCAATGCAATTGCGTTCTAGACCGCGCGTCGATTCATTGAAAATGGCAGTAATCATGGATGGTAACGCAGGATTATTCAAATCATTATACAAATCAATTGGCCGCTATTACAGCGGCCGCCGCCGCTGACGACGACGACGTTGACGAGGATGACGACGAGGACGACGATGATTTTTTCTTCAGCACGATGTCCTTGATATTGAGATTGACCTTCTCCTTGTGTAATGGCGGTACTGATTGCAGACAGAATCGCTTGAAGGCCTCCAGCTCGCGCTCATCATCGTCCATCTCCTCGTCGTTTTCGAGGTCTATATCTTTGGGCGTGAATACCTCTGTAAAAGACACGCTCTAAATACTGGATACACCAACAGCCCGCCTGCGAGTGCGACAATAATTGGCAAAATCTGCTGTGCATTACTTCTCTTTCTCTTATCTACTGTGTGGGTAGAAGTATAAAGAGATGAGAAAAAAGGGCAACAACAATGTCAACGTGTGTTTAACGTGGATATCGTCCAGACAATGTCGAGGCACTCGTCACGCACATTCGTGGAGCAACATAAAATCAATGAAATAACCATGTCGAATTTGCAAACACTTCTCGATGACGACAACCCACGTGAGCAACAATACTCTATTAGAATTGTTATGCTTCATTACCAGTACAATTGTTAATATTCGTTTTATTTTTCCTAACTTTCATCATCGTTGATAAGATATTACTCAAAAATGTTTTTAAAAAACTGTCCCGACAGTTCGTCTTTGACTTCTCTTTTCTTATAAGACAGTGAAATAACTTTAACATAATATTATACAGAAAGAAAAAAAGAAGAAAAAGAAATAAAGGAAAGATAATGAGTGTGACTACCCATACTTGTGCAACATTTTAGGAAACGTCTAATCCGATAAAGGGGAAAAGAGAGTATAACATTGAAAAAAAGTAGCTCGCTCTTTTATTTAATATTACCAGTAGATTTAAAAAACATATACTATATCACATTCGTGTATCTATCATCACAATAAGACGACCCCTATATTGTCAATATAAATCTAGTCGAGTAATTTGTCCATTAATTTTCGTCGGTCGATCGCGTTTAAAACTGAGACTAAAAAAGATATAATAAAAATATCATATATAATTTTATACCAGTATCTTTCAATTTTATCTATTTATATATATATATTTATATACATATTATATATATATAAAATAAAATATATACATATAAATATAGAATATAAATGTATATATGTAATATAAATATATATATTTTATAATACATTTTGTTATATCAGTTTATACGATAAGACTGACTCAATATAAATATCAATACAATGTATGTACTAATATATAGATAATTTTTCAGTGTAATACGTTATTATTATATATATTATATAATACTGATATAATATAATTCTATGCTGTCAGATCCAATAAGCTGTAGTAAATTCTCTCTATCATATTAATAAAAAAAATAATATTTGAATAAATTCGGAACTTTTCGATTATTACATATTCTAATCCAGTATAATTACAAGTTTCTAATTGCAGTTTTATCAAAATAAAAATGCGATACCAATACACAGTATTACCGCTGACACTATTTTCGGAATTCAATTCCTGATTTAAAATAATCTTGTATCGTGTATGAATTTTCTCCCGTCCCCTATCTTTATACATTCGTTCATCTTTATTGTATTTGCACGGCGTCTTTATTGAGACGGCACTGCCTCACGTTCTGCGTTCAAATGGGAAAGAAAATAAAGATTGCAAAAATTCGCGTCTACATCCAGACACAATTAACTACTCTTTAAAAAAAGAGCAAAGTGATTTGGTGGATTGTTGAAATGAATCTTGTGGATCTGAAAAAAATTAAAGAAAGAAGATCATTGACCATTTTCCTCCTTTTTTTCCTATAGTGATTTCCTCAAGAAATCAACTCTCGATTTATATCTTCCTCTCCTTTTCATTTTCTTTTCCTTCATTCGCAAATACTTGATATCTCAAAAATCTTTTGACCTAGCAGACGACATAGTATCCTAACGTGAGGGCAGTGCTCTCTCTTGACGGCACGAAGTAAAAGAAACAAAATCGTTTATAGTGCGATGAACCTACAAGCGTCCAAAGGAGATACGTATGGGTAGTTTCCTTCATAAAAGAAACGAGGATCTAGCCGCTGCGAAACAACCCGGGGAGGATACGTGCTGTGTAATGTATTTGTGTAATGTATAACGTGTGTTAAAGAAAACAAACAAAATGAAAGAAGCAGATTTACATGTTAAAGTCTGATTATTGTTGTTTCTCACCAACGAGGTCCAAGTCATCTCCGCACTGTCCCGTGCCGCTTCCGCGTTTTTTCTTTTTCTTGCTCTTGCCACTGCTTCCGCCGCCATTGACCGAAGTAGCGTTTATCGCCACCTCTTTCACCGTCGTATACTTCGCTGATGCCTGTCGCGCGTCCTCCATACTCGTTGCCTCGGGTCTCACCTTCGTCAGGGTGACGCTGGTACCCTTGAGATTGATACCGTTCTCTGGTATCGGTTGGCCATTTGTCATCTGACTAATCTGGATATTAGCGAGCTCGGACAAGGATGACGTGCAATCTGACTGCGCGCTCAATCGACTGCGCAATTCCGCCAGGCTCGATGATATGACACCGTTGCCGTGTTTCACGCTCAGCTGACCGCAATCATTCGTCGTTCTACCCGCCGATGACGACGATAGATCGCCTTTGACTATGTAATCCGGCTTAGGTGGTGACGTCAAGCCCGCATTGATCGCCTGTTGGAGAGCCGGACTTCGAATAGTCACCATACCGTTCTCCGAAACTTTAATGATTGCAGCTTGCTGTGTCGGTGGCACTTTCATTGGTCCAAACGATGGGTTCCTGATAGTCACCATGTTAGATCCGGGATTGTGCAGTATCCTCGCCGGTTCGTCGATCATGTGATCATTCACGAACGCGTCGTTGTTTTGCACCGGCGACGAAACTGCCGTATTGCCCGAATTGGCCGCCGAATTCTTATTTTTCTTCTTCTTCTTTTTACCGGTAGTAGTATTTTGAGGCTGCGAATCTTTCGATGAATCTATATAGAGAAAATAAAAAATTAAATTTGTATAAAATATTGATAAAAATAACATAAACCTTGAAAATATAAAATAATGTAAACATTGACTAAAAGACAAACATTTTATATATTGGGAGAAAAAACATTTAGAGAATTTATAATCTTTAAAGATCCTTCCAATGATTGTTAATAAATAATATTTTAATTGTTTAAAGAATTCCATTAGCTCTTCATAAAGCAAGAACGTGGTTGTTTTTATTGTACAAGTTGCCTGCAAAATAGAATAAAAGCTTTAATCAATTTTAAAAAATCATGCAATTATAATAAAAAGATCTAATTACAATTGTATTTATTTTCAAAAATAATTGCATGAATAAAAAATATATATTAATAAATTTACTTTCCTGAATTGAAGACTTTAATATACTAAAAATTAAATATCGCATATTAAAACAAAAACTATTAAATTCTCTTATCCACAGCAAAACATTAAATTCGTAAATCAATCTTGCATATGCTTCTGTCATTTATCTACACTAATTACAGCTTACCTTTCTCGTTGGCTTTCGGTAACAGATCTTGTTTGAGCTTGCCCGTGTCCACCACTATGACATTTCCACCACCCTGCGGACTCGCGTAACTCGACTGAACACCGCTCATCGGCGCGGCGATGATGGTAGTTTGCTTAGGCGGATTCACTGGTTTTGGCAAAGGAGCCGTTTTGATTGGAAGCGGTTTTGGCGGAGCATCGACCTTTGTAATTGTGATGCCCGGTGGTAACTTAAGATTTTCGATGTTGATTTTGGAATTTGGCCCAATGTCTTTAAACTGGCTACTAAGCGATGGCGAATTAACTCGTTCGGAACACGTATTTTGGACCTCCGTGGGTACATGTTGCTTATTTATGGGAATTTGATTCGTTTTATTTACATTATTTTTTTGAGAATCACTCTTATTTGATACGTTCTTATTATTCGCATTATTATTATTAATTTTATTGCTCTTATTGGTGTTCGACTGCAGATTTTTATCTTGCTGTTGTTGTTTCTTTACTTTTTTACTAATCATGGATTCGTTTATAACCTGATTCTGCTGCTGTTTCTGCGACACTGGCGTCTGAGGTGGAGTACTCGCTTTATTCTGCTTTTTGTTGCTAGCGTTTTGTTGATTCTTACTTTTATTTACCATATTTTGTTGCTGCAATACATTTTCCTTGTTCTCTGTATTTTTTTTATCTTTCTTCGATTTGGAATTTTTGCCTTCATTGATATTTTGCTGTTGAACTTTCTTCTCGTCTGCCTGTTTACTATTTTTCGATTTCTCATTATTTACCTGTTGCTTCAAATTCTTACCATCGTTGGCTTTAATTTGAGTCTGTTGCTTCGAATTATTCGATTGCTGTAATTTATTTCCCTGTTGTAAGGGATTATTGTTGTTAGTCGCCTTGACTTTTTTCTTTTTTCCGTTGTTACTTTGACTTTGTTCTTGTTCCGACTTGTGAGAAAGTTCTTTAGTCTGTCCATTCACCAACGTAAATAGAACTTTATCCTCAGCTGGAGTTTGGCCTTTTAGAGTGATCGTGACTGTAGGTTCAGCGCTATTCGAATTTATCTCCCTCCTAATAGTAACTATTTGTGGTTGAGATTCTGTATGTGTCGTATTTTCAGTTTCTTTTACCTTCGCTTCTTCCAGTTTCTTCATTTCCTTCTTCAATTTTTTCCTTTCCTTCTTCGTCAATTTTTTGTCGAGTAAATCGACGTCCGATAACTTATTGACATTATTATTCGAATTGTTTTTTGTAACATTATTAATACTTGCTGATAGCTTGCTGCCTTTATTGCTATCAACTTTCGCATTACTCTTATTCCCTTGGGTAGAATTCGTATTTCGTACTTCACACTTTTCTGTACTATTAATACTCTTATTTTTTGCGTTTGAATTTGCAGACACTGTCTTTGTCTTGTTACTCAAATTAATAATACTATTACTACCGCAGTTATTACTACTATTGCTACAAACTTCTTGCTTATCCTTTTTTCTATTGTTTAATGGTTTTATCGTAGATAAAGATACTGATGACGACGTTGGCAAAATGGAAACTTCAGGTAAATTACACTGAGGCAATAATCTTTGAGGTACAGGTTTTTGAGGATCGACAACGGTAATCGTCACCTCCGGTGTCTTTTTCTGTAATTCTATTAACTTTTGTCTCTCTGCTTCTTGTCTGTCCTTTTTCAATTTTTCTTCAAGCTGTCAAAAGAGAATTAACATTAGTTAACATTATATAAAATTATATACGGAATATAGCACAGTATAATTCGTTCTTAAACAAACCTTTCGTTGTTTCTGCCTCGCTTTCTTTTCAGCCTTCTTGTTGTCTTTCTTTCCGCTTTGATTACCTTCGATAAACTCTAACAACTCCTCTAAATCTCGCTGATCTCGTTGATCATACTGAGTCGTGGACGTCGTCGAAATTGGAGTATTTGATCTGAGAATCGAATTTGTCACGGTTTTCGATTCGGAGTTAGCGTTAGGAATCGACGATTCCGATGGACTTTTCTGCGGACTACATCCAGCCGCAACAGTCTTACACTTTTTCGCTTTTTTCTTCGTCAGAAGTTGTCGTAGTCGTTCCCGCATTTCCTTATAATTTCGACTCACTGGCGCAACCGATGGCTAGAAATAATAAATACACTTATCAATAATCACTACTCTCCAAAACGAATAAACGTCTCTCCACGTGATTTTTTTAAATATCTAACTCACCATTCCGTGACCGAAGACTTCACAGTAGCAACAGTCGCAATGTCTCAAATTAGCATCTCTCTGTGCGGAACTACTCGTAGAACACGAGTCTCCCTGACTGCTCCCTGAATCCGAACAGTCACCGTCTCCTGAACTCACTGAAACAAATACAAGATTAAAATGTAACGCCCAAATGAGAAATGTAGCTTTAACAGATATACACAATATATATCCGTTGTTTACTAACAATCGTTACATGACATTCTCTTGATATGCTCGACGTTGGCTTGCTTGTGACACGCATGCGGTGTATGATTAAGTGGACGAAGTCTAGGGTGGGAACACGGACCTGTGTTTTTCGTCAGATCTGGAAGCAGTCCGTGCGAATGAGTGTTACCTATGATTGCGTGAAGAAAAGATGTACATGTACGAAGGTGTACATGTAATGAATATGGCAAAGACGTGGAAAAGAGATTGACGACGACATGACGAAGATATAACGGAGGAATTACTCGCTATTTATACCTACCCTGATGCATGGTGTGATTGTGAGTTTGTGTTGTAGAATGCCTCATTTGAGTTTGAGCGGGTTGTGTGGCAGCAGTCTTTACAACAGGTTTCTCATTTGGTTCTGGATTAGTCTTTACGATAGAAGTCGGTGATGTAGCTTTGGGACGACCATTCGCTACGACCGTTTCAGGTATGGCTGTTTTCAAAAACATTATATCATTTACTAAATTATAAGTGCATTAGCTAAATAATAAGTGAAAATCCAATAAAAAATCTTTTACATCACTTACATTTAGGCAAGCAAGGACATATATCCCACTTGCGTCTTGAATTCAACAGACAAGGACAGGGCGGACTTTCTAAAATTTCCTTTTTCCTTTCCGTTATTTCTTGCGCGTGTTGATAAACACACAGACAAGGTTCCGACTCGGGCGTCTTTGAGATATACTTGTGCAAAGTATCACGCACGCTCAATTCTTTCTTCTTTTTATCCTCGTCATTTAAATTATCTATTTTCTTTTTAATTTGCGCACATCTCTTCGGCATTTCTAAAAATGCATGTAATTATTTTTTTATTTCTCTGAGACATCTCTGTCATTATTAATTTATTTTATTTGCTCACCTAGAAATCCATTACTAAGAGATGAAAGAGAATTTATCTCGTCCCTCTCGGCATTTTCGTCTTTATACGTATCCTATAAAAAAATTATTAGTATAAATTACTTTCGAGAAATTTTACACAAAGTATAATCATAAAGTTATACATTACAATAATTTTTATTTGATTTAAAAGTTTTCCAACTCGTATTAGAAGTACTAAATTAGAAGTATTAAATAGATAATATATTTTTACTTTAGTAAAAACTACTAATTTACTTTTATTTTAATATATTTACAAAAAGAGTATTAAAGAATTAAAAACACAAAAAGATGAAACAATAATCGTTAATAAATTAATGTATGATTTGAAATAATTTTTTTACCGTATGACTTACTCCAATTTCATTGCACGTATAACATTCGCATTCTTTTCTATTCTCAAGCCCATTCTCCATATCGCCGGAATCGTCATTATGAGTTCTGAAAGTCAGAATTATTGATATCTACGATCACACAAATAAATAAAAATCGAAGTATAACTCTTTACATATCTATATGACATACCTTACTGATCTGATGGCATATTGCGCTAACTGACACGTTGCACGTGTGTAATCGTAGCAATTAGAATCGCCTTGTCCAGCGGCGTCTACTTCGGTGGCAGTTAATGCCCCGGCTATATCCGCTAATTTTTGATGTTGAGCTTTATTCCAATCATCTAACAATATTTGAACAATCTCTATGCTAGATGGCATAGCTATAGAATCTGAGCTAAAGTCTAATACTGGACTTAAAGGTGGACTATCGCTTCCAGATGTATGTGCAATGAGCGATGAAAATTGTCCATGGATCTCTTGCATTTCACTAAAAAATTTGTTGCAATAGATTAGTGAAAATCATCGGGAAAGAAATTTGTTAGTTTTTTTGTATGTATGCACATCTTACTTTCCGATATCAGATGTTTTGTTTAACATACTGCGCTCCATAAATTTACGTGTTGCTGTGAACAATTCCCAAGCTTCTCTAATTTGTCTAAGTCTTGTCATACGAACGGCTTGTTCTGCACTAAAACCACATTTTGTTTAAACAATTCTATTTGTTGATCTTTTATTATCCAATTCTATCGAGATGTGAGGAAATAATGACGTAAATAGTATAATGTTCTTCAACTTACTTATATTTATCCATCCATGGCTCTGTCTCAGGCCATAAATTACCGATTCTCGTCATTTCGTCATCGAAAGATAAATACCTATGAACGAGAGCTTGATATTTGGAGCCTTTCAACGGTAGAAGTTTTCTCAACTAAAAATGCAAATGTGCATGTTTAGCTTTACTAAGTCGCAAACGCCACGGATGTTTCTTCAGTAAAATAGAATATTTTACCTGGCCAATAAACGTAGGTAAATTGTTTTGCACTAAAGCGTCATTATACACATAAATCTGATATAACTTTTTGATAAAGCAGTCCCACGTCAAATTGAAGTTGAGGCACTTTTTTAATGGTTTTACTAATTCAGAAATTATAATCGCTGTCGATACGAGAGCATCATAATCATTCAAGAGACCTGTATTGTGAGAAATCCAGATAAATTTTACATCCACATCATGATAGATATTTTGAAATTTATTTTACAAAACAATTTAGTTTACAAAAAGTAGTACTAACCAGTAAGAAAAATTTCAGCTAAATTCACGCTACGATCGTGTAGAAGAGCAAACAAACGAATTTTTACTTCTATCACAAACTCTTGCGCTTGGCTCACTAATCTCATGAAAAGTTGATGAGAATCTCTTTTACATAATCTATAATAAAAGAAACTGTTACATAACAGTTCGTGTAACAATAATAAAATTTGCAAAAAATTTTAATATGTAAAAGTTTCTTACTGAATAACAGTATTGTGCATATCGTTAGTGAATTTGCCACGATGAGATTGTGGAGAATTATATGTATGAGTTTCTAAAGCAACGTTAAAGTCAGTACGTATGTACTGCCGTAATTCTGTCCATAGATTTTGAAAGTTCATAGCCTTTTGTAGCTCCTCCCTAAACATGTCTCTGCACATACACAAAATACTTTCAATTAATGTCACATTCTTGCTTCTCTTACTCCTTCTTGAGATTCTGATTGGTGACTTTACCGTTTAGCTTTGTAATCAGCTGTATTATCACAAGAGCACGACTCTTTCCCGAGACGTGACTGACTATCCATAGCTGTTGCAGAGGAGTACAGCTTGGCGAGCGCATCAGTGCTCACTAAAGACGACTTACGACGATCTTCATCAGCCGCTCTTGCACCTCTGATAAACGCGTCAATCACACGCTGATCAGTCGTCCCGCACTATATAAATAAAGTATTTAATGGAGTAAACTTATTTATGCAATATAATCTGTATCCGCAAGAAAGCAGTGTGAAAGCTGACCATTTAATTAGTAAAATCAATCAAGATTCTTGTTAACAGTATAAATGAAAAAATTACTATTATTAAGAATTCTTAATCTAAAGATATTAGGCCTCTCTATCTATGTCTATTCATGTCAGAAGTATATGCCAAGGATGTATTATTATATATAGTATATTGTTGTAAAAACAATTTAATAATATGAAATATTTATTGTTACATAAACAAGACACTTTGTTATTATTATAATTTTATTTTGTCAGCTATGTCATTTAAATTTCTTTCAAACAGTACTAATTGATATAAATAAATACATTATTCAGAGCCTGCTAAGACATTAATTCCAGAATAACTGACAAGAAAATAACATAACATAAACATTTATATTTCCGTGTGAATAATATATCACTTACGTACATGTATAATATTAAAATTATATCAATAGATAGCATATTAAATTTTTGAAAAGGAAAATTTTCACAGCTGACTGAGTCTGCAATAAAATTTTTTACTTCAAAAAGGTAACAGTTCTCTTTTGATAGAGATTTCAGGTTACAACGCGCGAGCGCGTCGGTCTTTAAATTATAAAGATGATTTTATTGAAATTAAATCGCTCGACCACATTCGGTTCGCGCAAAGAACGTCAGAACGAGGACGACGTACCCCAGTGGGATCATAGTCCGCGACCGCGGGGAACACGCGGGCGTCCCCATTCTCGTGGTCGCTCGGCGTGTCCATGTCCCGGCACGTCCAGGCGGAATCAGTGCAGCTGTCGACGGCGATGACGTCGTCACAGTGCCGTTTCATCACCGTCGCTGTCGTACCGCCGTCGTCATCACCCATCGCTTCGGCTATGTCCCTTTGCCCAGTGATGGTGGCGATGGTGGTGGTGGCGGTGGTAGTGGTGCTCTTTTCGAGTCGACCGTCCTCTCCGTCGCTGCCACTCATGATAGTGCCGCTACGCCCGTTTCGGTGTCACACGACGCACCGTATTCCAGGCAACGGCCACAGAATTGATGCGAAACTGTATCACGGCCTTTACCCGGAACCGCGTAAACACCACAGCTCACGCATTCGGACTTGTTCGAACGCACGGAGGTTCGAAGAGGTACAGACTCGACACTTGCAACCCCTATCAATATGGCGTCTCGCGTGCGTGCGACCAGCAACGACCAGTCCAGTCCGCGCAACCGCGCATCGACCGACATAGTGGCGCAACACCACGGAGCGCTTTAAACATATACGTTCGCTCCGCTATTATTATCAGTTGATGATACAGCAAATCGCTTCTGTACTCTATCTATATTTTTCCTTTTCTCGTGATTCTCAATTAGGGTCGCGGCATACAAAAAAATTTAAGCAGCGTAAAGAAATCAACGTGTTGGATTAGCTGCCGCTGCTTACATAGGGTGCGTTCCGATATTCACTGCCAGTGCTGAAAATCTATAGCGCATGTAACGTATACTGTATAGTTTCTAGCACTGGCAGTGAATATCGGAACGCACCCATAGTCAGCAACGTACAAATTATATATTAATACAATTAACATACCTACATGTACAAATATACAAACGCAAATCATTATATATACAAATATATAAATAATATATACATGTATATATTATGTATATTGTATTATATACAATATACACATTTATATTGTATATAATTGTATATTATATACAAATTGTATTAATTTATTATATTTTGTATTATTTAACATTTTTCCATTTGTTGTTTGGAACGAAAAAAAATTTGAACGTAAACAATACGAAGCATATTTATCCAAAATGCGAATGTAAAAAAATAATCTATAAATATTTATATCTCAAAGGTTACGTGAAAATAATTACGGATAAAATATTCTCGTTTCCTGTGTGCATTATACCGTCAGCTCGATAATACAGTGGAGCTCATTCTTTTTTTTTTTCCTTCCGTTTTTTTCCTCTCGCGCATAGAATTGCGAGTTATACAATAATTATCGACATTTTGATACAACGCGCGCGAACGAGTTCAATGTGCAATGGCAAGCAATCAAATCTGTATTTGTATAATATTTATTCAATAACATTGAACTTAGCTAGGAAGACTCTATGTAAAAATTTCGTTAATAATGATAAAAATTAATTATTCAAAAGAAAGAAATCGCATAAATATCATCCCAGACAACACATTGAGACATAAGATGTCTTTGAGACATCTTTTAGACGCCAAAGACTTATGTCTCTCTTTTGGATACCTTGGGTTGTCTGGGATAATTATATCGAATGTACGAGCGAAAGTAAGTAAGCGAAAGTGATCAGAAAAGATAATTGATGTTAAATAAAAAAACGTGTTTATATTTTATATTTTATAATATTTAAAAGAAGAAATTGCGAAGAGCATAAATCGATCCGGTGCTCCATGTATCTCGACGTGGCGTAAAAACGAGCGAAGAAACAAGCTTGTAATTAAAAATAGGCCTGGTTTCTCTCAAGGTTAGCCAGCGTTTTTCGCTCCGTCGGAGTTATTTCTCTTGAGCAATAAACGGATCGATCGTAACCGTCGTCCTCTCATTGGGCGCGTTCAAGCCGACAAAACGGCTAATAGGCATACTTGCCGAACGAACGAGCATGATTGGTTCTTACTTGTGGATCCAACCAATGATGTTTAATTGCTCGACGACCTTAGCTGCCTTACCAACTTGAATTCGCCTATTGTGCGAAATTTATAGTCATCACACGCACAAATATTTTAATCGTAAGGCCGTAAGCAAAACGGTCAATCAAAAATTTTAAAACGTAAGATCGCAATTTTGATTGTGATTGATCGATTTGACCTTGAGACCTTACGATTACGACTATAATTTTTATACATGTAATGGCCTTTATGCATCGCACTGCAAATGGCAGCCATGAACAGAGTATCCCGTCGCAAAAATAGATGTATTCAGCGGATTTGTGTATTCTTCTAGATCATACATTTGATTGGATAATTCTAGAAAAATACATCAATATGCTCATTCAATTGTTAAGTCTGCCAAACGCAGTCAATGATTGTTTTCAATAGACTCAATAATTGTTACGGATATATATTATATATGTATATATATA